TGGGCTGCAGATGAAGGCCAGCAGATTCTGCACGAGCCTTGATAATCTCGACGTCGGCCGCCACGTCCTCCGCGGGACCCATCAGTACAATGTCGTCGAGGTACTTGATGACCTTGCAGCGATAGTCAGTGGTGGCGTCGCGGAGACCCAGGACCCCACAGGAGTACAGGGCAAAGAAGAAGGGCGATAGCTCGTTGCCCTGCACAATGCCTTGGCCAACATCAATGTCAATCACCTTGAAGAACTTGTCGACAATGCAGTGGGTAGTGGGTCGAGCATAGTGTCGTTCAAAGGCGCGCAAGAGGCCAGGGACCTTGTCGGCCACAATCTCGTGCAGCCGTGCTCGGTCGGTGTAGTTGAAGGCACTCTTGAAATCGAGGGAGAGCATGGTCCAGCCCGGGGTAGACTCACAGGCTTGAAGCTCACCAAAGGCCATGCCAACCGCTGCTGAAATGCCGTCCTTGACTCCGACAGCCAGCTCTGGACTGGCCTGTAGCAAGTGGGCAATATGGGGCTGCTGTTGCTCGAGCAGAGCGCGGTTGACAACCTTGTTGAAGATGGAATCCGTGCCCACGGGTCGAAACTTGCCATTGGCCTTCTCCAGGATAGTGTAGTTGATGGAGCAAAGGGCATGTCGAATCGACTCGGGCACGGTGTTGTTGGCAATGTGGTGAAAGATCTTGTTCAAGGCAACCTGAGGACCTCCAGTGGCGGTGGTGGGGCCCTGAGGCGCGTCTCCATCAGAAAAGGAGCTCGCTTCACGGATCGGGACCTTGCTGTTCATGATCTGACGAAAAAGGAGCTCGCAGATCCGGCTCTCGCAGATCAGAACCGGACCGAGCATGGCCCAGGCAGAAGAGGAGCTAACAAATGACCTGGCTGAGCATGGCTCGGGCAGAAAAGGAGCTCGCTTCACGGATCGGGACCTTGCTGTTCATGACCTGACGAATAAGAAGCTCGCAGATCCGGGTCTCGCGGATCGGGAGCTGGCGAAGAATGGCCCAGGTAGAGAAGGAGCTCGCATATCCGGCTCTCGCAGATCAGAACCGGACCGAGCTTGGCCCAGGCAGAAGAGGAGCTAACAAATGACCTGGCTGAGCATGGCTCGGGCAGAAAAGGAGCTCGCTTCACGGATCGGGACCTTGCTGTTCATGATATGACGAAAAAGGAGCTCGCAGATCCGGGTCTCGCGGATCGGGAGCTGGCGAAGAATGGCCCAGGTAGAGAAGGAGCTCGCATATCCGGCTCTCGCAGATCAGAACCGGACCGAGCTTGGCCCAGGCAGAAGAGGAGCTAACAAATGACCTGGCTGAGCATGGCTCGGGCAGAAAAGGAGCTCGCTTCACGGATCGGGACCTTGCTGTTCATGATAT